CTCAGGGTCTTTCATTCAGGTCCCACATGGTTTCATGCAGTCTTTTGTCCATCCCTGCAGGGACTGGGAGTCTGTCTTCAGGGCAGCCTTAAGAATACCATTATAATGTTCGATGAGGCCTGCCCTCATTGGATTATATGGCAGGTGGAATCACCATTCGATGTTATTTTCTTCTGCCCAGCACTGTATTGTTGCACTAGTAAAATGAGTTCCTTGGTCGCTCTCGATGACTTGAGGTGTCCCATAGGCAGACATCAGTTTAGTGAGTGCCTTGATGGTATATGCCTGGTTTGCTTTCAGTACTAGATAGGCCTGCAGTAGCCCACTTGCAGTGTTGACACAGGTCAGGGCATATCTTGTCCCCTCAGACCGAGAAAGAGGCCTAATGTAATCGACCTGCCATCACTGGAGAGGATTGGGTCCTCTAGCAAGATGGGCTGTTGTTTTGAGCAACGATCTCAGTCTCATCTTGGAGCAAGAGTCACAATCCTGGCATGCCTGGATGATAGCAGGTAGTTGTATGGGCCGTCCCCACGCTTTAGCAGCTGCCCACATTGTCTTTTGTACAGCATGTCACAGAATCACAGAATCACCCGGGTTGGAAGGGACCTCAAGGATCATGTAGTTCCAACCCCCCCGCCTAGCAGGGCCACCAAACATACACATTCAGATCAGGTTGCCCAGGACCCCGTCCAACCTGGCCTTGAACACGTCCAAGGACAGGGCATCCACAACCTCCCTGGGCAGCCCATTCCAGGGCCTAACCACTCTCCTTGTAAAGAACTTCCCCCTAACATGCAACCTAAATCTTCCCTCCTTCAACTTGGATCCATTTCCCCTAGTCCTGCTATTGTCAGCCCTTTTGAAGAGTTTACTCCCCTCCTGGGTGTAGGTTCCCTTCAAGTATTGATAGGCTGCAATGAGGTCACCCCGCAGCCTTCTCTTCTCCAGGTTGAACAAGCCCAGCTCCCTCAGCCTGTCCTCATAGGGGAGGTGCTCCAGCCCCCTGATCATCTTAGTCACCCTCCTCTGGACCCTTTCCAAAATCTCAATGTCTTTCTTGTACTGAGGGCTCCACACCTGGACACAGTACTCCAGATGGGGCCTCACAAGAGCCGAGTAGAGAGGGACAATCACCTCCCTGTCCCTGCTGACCACCTCTCTCCTGATGGAGCCCAGGATCCCATTTGCCTTTTGAGCTGCCAGAGCGCACTGCTGGCTCATGTTCAGTCTCTCGTCCATCAGGACCCCCAGGTCCTTCTCTGCCGAGCTGCTCTCAAGGACCACTCCTCCCAGCCTGTACGGGTGCCTGGGGTTCTTCCGGCCCAAATGCAAAACCTTGCACTTTGCCGTGTTGAACCTCATTAGGTTCACCCGAGCCCAGCTTTCCAGCCTGTCGAGGTCCCTCTGAATGGCATCCCTTCCTTCCACCGTATCAACCGCACCACTCAGCTTGGTGTCGTCAGCAAACTTGCTGAGGGTGCACTCAATTCCCTCATCGATGTCATTAATAAAGATGTTAAAGAGCACCGGTCCCAAGACAGACCCTTGGGGGACACCACTTGTTACCGGCCTCCACCTGGACATAGAGCCATTGACCACCACCCTCTGTGTGCGGCCTTTCAACCAATTGCTTATCCATCGGGTCGTCCACCCATCAAATTCACTTCCCTCCAATTTGGAGATGAGGATGTCGTAGCTTCTGATGTAACCAATGGGCGATGTTCTCAGATGGTGAATTCTCAATCCATCGAACTTGGACCAGCGTGTCACCTTCATCATTTCCCGGTGACTGTAAGTGCTGATGACCAGAAATCTGGTAGACACGTACAGTCCTGTGTTTGACTGTATTCCATGTCTAACAACATGTCTTTGCCCCAGATTGGTCAGGTGTGGATAGTCCATTCCTGGGTGGCCCACTGTGCAATCCAAAGAGTGAGCCTCCAGTACACAGCCCAACTATCTGTGCAGATATTCAGGATACCATCACCGGGTTCCTTGGTTATAACCATCCACACAGCTCGCAGTTCTGCCCATTGGCTGCTCTGACCATCCCCCTCATCAAACCAGATTTTCTTGGTGGAAGGATGGTAAGCTATTGCTCTCCAATTGCTCAGGTTGCCCTTGCTGGACCCATCTGTGTACCAGGCATCTTCAGGGATAGGATATTTTCCCTCCTGAACTGGGCTCTTCTCTGGTGGAGCAACCAGTATTTCTTTTGGTGCACCACTGTAATATGTCACTGGGCCTAGGATTCTCTGGAGCTCTTCTTTCAAGGGTGATGAAGACAGGCTGCTCCTCTGGCTGAGGTAGGCGATCCATCATGCCACTGTTTGTGCTTGGGCCACCCCTGTCTTAGGAAGGTAGGTCAGATCTTTCACCCACCCCTGAATCGGCAGAGTGGTCTCGACTATAAATTCAGCTGTTTGAATTATTGGCTCTACTGCCTGTAATGCCGAATAGGCAGCTAATAACTGTTTTTCAATCATACTGTATCTTTCTTCTGCTCCATGCCAAACCTGAGACAGAAACCAATGGGGGTCTGAACAGAACTCTGGTGTTGCCACAGGCCCCAACCAAAGCAGTCTTGAGTAACATGAACGTCCAACTCAGCTGGGAGGATAGGATTAAATATACCCAATGCCTGGGCTTGTTTAACTGCAAGTTTTGCTTGTTGGAAAGCATCTTGTTCTGTTTTCCCCCCAGTCCCATAGCTGCCCCTTTTTTGCGAGTCTGTATAGTGGCCTTAGCAGCTGCGCTAGGTGAGGTATAAAGGAACACAAATAAACCAATATACCTAGAAACTCTTGCAGCTGCTTTGATCTGTAGGGACCGGGAACGCCTGAACCTTATCTATGACAGCACTAGGTAGTACTTTGATCTTTCCTGACCAAACCACCCCCAGGAATTTTACGGACAGGCCCGGACCTTGCACCTTCTGGGGATTGATAGCCCATCCCCTCTGTTGTAAATAGGTGGTTAATGAATCTGCCGCCTGTCCTATTGCCTCCAGTGAGTCAGATGTCAGCAGATCATCAATATAATGATATAGGTTAGCATCATCAGGTTTTCTCCAATCAGCCAGGTCACACACCACTAGATTATGATAATATGCTGGTGAATGCACGTACCCCTGTGGCACCTGAAAGCTCCACTGCCTGCCTCCCCACATAAACGCAAACTGATCTTGCAATTCCTCAGCAATTGGGATACCGAAGAACGCATTTGCTAGATCTAGGACACAGTGATAGGTTTTTATTTCCCTACTTCATGTGTCCATTAGGGAGGCAATATTGGGTACGGCAGCATGAATAGGTGGCATGACCTTATTTAATTCTCTGTAATCTACTGACATTCTCCACATGCCATCCAACTTCCACACTGGCCATATGGGGGAGTTATATGGGCTGTGTGCAGGTCTTATAATGCCAACTTTTTCTAATTCCTGCACCGTTCTCAATATTTCATCTTGCCCACCCGAGAATCTATACTGTCTCACATTAGTAATCTGGTACAGTTTTGGCAGGCAAACAGGCCCATGGTTCACAGGGCCTCTTTATATTGCCTGCACCGCCCAGACACTGATACATCTCTGTTGAAGTCTGAACTCTGCCACGCTTGTCTGGAGAGCCAGACCCCATAGAATATCTATGCCCAGGATGTATTCTTGGACTGGGGCAATAGATACCTTGTACTCCCAGGGTGGAAAATGCCCAACCCCCAGTTTTAACCATGTTTGGGTGACAGGAATAGTCTGTTCCCCAAGACCACCAATCATCACTCTGTCCCCATCAAATTTGGTCGGATCTCCGTAGATAATTGATGTTTTTGCTCTGGTGTCCACTAATGCCATAACTCTCTGAATATTTTCTCGGGACCAATAAATTGTTAATTCTATATAGGGCCTCTGGTCTCATCTGGAGGCCTTAGAGGGACTAACATCCCTTGTCACGCCATGAATTGTGCTAGGGCCAATTCTTTTGCTTCCAGTGGCTCAGGCATTGTGGCCCGAGACACCGACACCTGAGGCAGCTTTTTTTTTTTTTTTTCCCTATTAGGAACAATGAAATCTTCTAGGTTCTATGTCATTGTTGGTATCCTTTCTATAACCCTTACCCTGGATTTCTACCCCAGAATCGCACAGTCTCAATAACCAAGCCGGCACACTTTCTCCAGGCTTCTGCCAAAATTGCTGTACTAAATCCATTAATTCTGTTGCCGTGTATGGCCGGGCTGTTACATGTAAATGAGTCTGGGCAGGGGGCCACTGATCAGGTGGCACCCCTGCCAGTCTGACCTATACTTTCTTTGTTTTCTGAGTTATGACAGGACGGACTTCTCATGGATCTGTCGAAATCGGATATTTGAGATCTAATTCGGATTTTTTATTTTCCTGATCAATGAAGCCTGTTGATTCAGGAGCCTGATCATTGTTTATTGAGCTGTTATGAACTTGACCTATTGGAAGATGTAGAATTGGTTTCTTCCCTGTTAATATGCCAAGTTCCTGCTCTAGTTTTTCAGTACGGTCTTTCAAAAGTTGATTTTCATTTTCTAAAGTATTATCTCTTATTTCAGCACAATTTAAGGCACTTAATAGTGGCCATGCCACTGTGGAGGCAGCCAAATGTCTTTCTTTAGTGATCAGTACATCCTTGCTAAGTCCCTGAAAGTAATCTGCCATGCGATATGGGGAGATATTTCCCATAACATATAAGTGATCCCATTTTTCAATGATAACCACTAGTTCATAATAGGGAGATCCCACAAATCCTGGGATCTGCCCTAAAATCATTTTCTCTAGAGGAGTATTGTTCTCCCCCTTGACCCATTTATAGAAATTCCAAAGAAAAGACGTGATGTAAATTTCAGTATATTTGGCCTGCCTGGCTCATCAAGTGCACAATCAATGAATACTAAGATGTTATAATTACAAAATAAATGAGAGAATTTGGCAAAGCAGATTATGATAACAAAAAGAGAATAGATAAAAAGCTTACCCCTATCCTGGGCTTACTTAGAAAACTCTAGCAGAGCAGACTCCAGAAGAGATCCTTCCTCACTGGTAGCCAGCTCTTCAATAGGTTAACAAGGACTGGAGCCTGGCTTCAAACCCCTTCTGGCAACACAGGTGAACTGCCTTCACCTGTGCTCCTCTGGCTGACTCATTGCTTGCCTCAGGTGATAAGTCAGAGGTTCAGGCTGTGATTCAGCAGTTCCCATACAAAGATTAAGCCCCATTTTATTTTTTTGACCTGTGCAAATCCTTACGAAATTCTAATCAAAGTATTTTGTCTTGTTTTTGCATGTAATATATCACTTTTTCTCTCTTTTTTTTTTTCTTTCTGATGAGAGATTTGTTAGCATATTGAAATAATTATGCTTTTGGGGGCAGAGTAGAGCAAAGTTGATTCATGAATGTGTTGGCATCTAATATATAGTTAGCTTTTGAATTAGTTTATCTTCATCTAAATCATAATATTATAAATGCACAGGTGCTTCCTGTTACAATTCATTGTTTTTGAACTTTTATGGAAATGGAGGCAAAAATAGAAGAAACATTACAGTTAAACACTGACTTAAGATTGCCTCCAGTAATTTGTCTTTGAGTGCTAAATTAGCTGTACTCCTCAAAGACACAGCAATGAATTTGATGGAAAAAAAAGATATTTTAGCTGCTATGTATGTTTTTAGGACTTTTTTTTTTTATTTTTTTTTTTTTTTTTACTGCATGTACTTGCTGTTAGTTCTAAGTGGAAGACCTTAGAAATGTCACGAACAATAGTTTTCTATTCTCCCTGTAACAGCCCTTCTCCTCTTTAACTTGTGGAAAAAGTAAGTTTTTGTGTGCTCTGTTGAAAACCCAGACTAAGCACACGGGAAAAAAAAGGGGATCTTGTAATAACAGAGGAAAATTTTCTTTATTTTCCTTCTATTGGTTTAAAAACCTACTGTAAAGCACAAGCCTCCATAGATTTTTCTGCATTTGAAGAGAGAGTTGTTGAGTGCAGTTCTACACTTGACATTGGAACAGTAGTAATAACACCCAGTGAAAGAGCAGACTTCAGTTGTCAGCTGCTCATTTTATTTTTTTCTTTCTCAGAGCTACATGATTTGCCTTTAAAGGTTGTTTTTTTTTTCCCAATGAAACCTCATTTCTCTGAAGTGTACAAGGCATTTTTTGTAAGCGCATTGATAACTTTCCAACTATACAACAGCTACATCACTTAGAAATGAAGATCAGAGAGTAGAAAGAACAAAGGTTACACATTCCTCTTCAAACCCAATTTATTGTAAGGTCCCCATTGAAATTTCTTGGCCATGCTATACATTTTTTCTCCAATATAAAATGCTATATACTAAGCAAAAGCTTTGAAAACTAATTTTGTTTGTACTTCTGTTTTTATGGAAAACAATAGGGTCTACACCAATAGTTTTACATGCATTAGAACTAATTTTTTTTTTTTTTTTTTTGTATCTTACCCTCTAAATTCTGAGCCTTTCCTAATAAAAGAAACAAGTAATAGGCCAAGAATAATAAATGGTCATATTGAAACAAAATCTTTCTGTGATTTATGGGTCTTGGCTCTGACTTTGAGCTGTCATCACTACAAGTACTTGTGTTAAAAAGATGAGATATAAACTGCTGGGTCCAATTGAAGACTTCAAAGATAATAAACAGGTTCCTGGGTAAATTGCCAAATCTCTGGAAATAAACTTTCATTAGATCTTTGAGGGGAGAAGAATAGAAAAGGGATAAGAAAAATAATATTGCATGTTTGCAGAGATAGAGTAGAGATGCAGGACAAAGAGCAGGGGACTTGCTGTGTTTTCATGTTTTGCTTTTCTAACAATCTCTGAGTACAAATCATATAGAACACAACTGTTCTCTCCAGTTGCAACATTAGGCTTCATCTCCATAGAATCTGTATATGCTGTGCTGTATAGACCTACTAGTATAAATAAAATATGCTCTGAGTTAAAACGTAAGTTCTTGAGGAGTAAGAACTGAAGAGATCAGGAATTTTAGTTGGGATGTTTACATCAGGCACTGGCAGAAATGAATAATTCTTAAGGGAATCAGTGTATTTTATTTTCCCTTCAAACTTTTATGTTATTGAAGACTTATTAAAGGTAACAAGTAACTCTGCCTAAGAGTGTGTTAACTGTTTAAGTAATAAAGGAAATTTTGCTTGATTGACCATTGAAAATAGTGAATGCTGGAAAGCTTTTGGGAATAAGTGAGATTTTATGAGAGCTAGGTCTCATAAAATCAGATTTAAAAGTAGTACAGGACTGGCACACAACTGTATTTCTCTATTCTGCCCTGATGTTACCCCCCTCTCACTTCCTGATCTCTCGTTTGTGCATTAATTGTCCCTGAAAATAATCATGTTTGAAAGGTGTATACAGATTTCTCCACTTGCTCCTTCTCAAATGCAACTAAGCTTTTTTTAACATCCTCCTTTCCTTTGCTTCTCATGGAGACAATAATAAATTTTGGTCAAAATTTCATTGTGATGTTATTACATTTTGCATAAAATCAGCAAATTAAACAACATTCTTTTGCATAAATGATTGGAGGACTGATTCTCGCAAACCTTCAGAAGTCTTCCTCTTCCCTTCTGTTTAAGAGAAAAAAAATGCACTCTTACTGGCTGTGATGGCTATTCAAAACCATGTCAAAAGTTGCTGCAAATGTCTGGCAGTATTTGCAAAGTCTGAAATGCTGTGCCTGGGTGCAAACTATTGCAGTGGTTCCAAGATGCCAGTGATACTGCTTTAAATATTTACACTATTGTGACAAATTTGAAGCTGCCTGTAAATATTTTATGAATGCTGTGGCTTAACAGGATTGTTGTGGTGTTGACTGCGTGAATATACAGAGCACATTCGTCAGGAAATTGGCTCAGTAAACAGCGTATACTCTAATCCTGATATGAATTTCTTAGGAATGTTTCAGTATATATCAGCTCCCTCAGTCTTGAAATGAACTTGTGACATTCTTGCAGGCTGACTCATGGTTTAGGCTGGATCAGAAAACAGAGCAGATAACAGAAAACTTGGCTTAAAATAAAAAGAGAAGCCTTCAATGACAAAAGCTAAAGGGCAAATTTGGGGGTGTAGAATGGAATCCAGCCTCCTTAGATAAGCTAGAGTTGTAACTTTGGGATTAATTTAATGTATTGTTGACATTTACAGTGTCAGTATTTGCAGCTAAAATAATCAGCCTTGGCTGCATTTCTTTTTGTATAATCAATGGAGAGTTATAGACTACTTCAGTACGCAATGTATGAGACCTATGCTAGACTTCTGCTTCTAAAGTTCCCATAATTATAAAAATACTTTGGGTACATTATCTCTGTTGTATACAATGCGGACGCTCACATGTCATAAACTGATTCTCACCTATACAAACTGCAATAATTTGGTAAAATTATGTTTTTCTCTGCTTTCTTCATACTGTTGAAAATTAAGCAATATATTGCTTCAAAAATACTTTTTGAATTTCTGAATCTACCTTTGCTCAAAACTCCCATAAGGAAGATCTTCAGGTAGTAATTATAGTCAGGCCTGCTGAGTGATTAAGGCTTGTAATCAGGCACTTGGAATAAGATTAAGCAAATTGCCTCTTTCTTGCTGAGAGGTGAACATGTCAGATGTAACACATTGTTATCCAGAAGACAGATAAGAAAGACTTCAAAGGAATGACTTGCTCTGTAGCTACAAGTATATAACTATTTTATTTCTCAGTAACCCACTGCAGGTGCTTGCGTTCATTTACACAGAATAATTTAGATAGTGATGAACCAGCCCCATGCCAGCTAGGAGCAAGTTCCTAGCCTTGTCCAGTTTGATTGTGAAAGTTCCCAGATAAAGGCACTATTCATCCTCTCTGGGCAGCTATTGCAATATTTTGTCATCCTCACGGTGAAAAATAATTATTGTGCTAATCAGAACTTTCTTTTTTGCAGATGTATTGTATTGTCTGTCATTCCAATACTGTGCAACTCCAGTTAATCTGACTGCTAATTCTCACTTTAGGTGAAAAGAAGAGTAAAACTCTCCCCTTAACTATCTACTCTTGAGAGTAAAACTCTCCCCTTAACTATCTACTCTTGAGACTGAGCACACTTGGATGTGATCTGACAAGATGTAGTCTGACAAGCGACCTGTGGAGGGGAAGGATTACTTCACAGGACCTGCTGGAAACATTATTGCTAATGGAGATTAGGATGTGATTGGCCCTTTTTGCAGCAAGGGCATACTGCTACTCTACCAAGACTACCAAGTCCTACATACCAGCTGGTCAGCCTCCAGCCTATACCACTGTAGAGCTATTCAATTCAGATGTTGGATTTGACATTTGTTTTGTTGAAATTTATGAGATTCCTGACAGCCCATATTTTCAGTTTGTAAGGTTCCTCATATATTCCAGGAGATCAGAGGAGACCCTCTGATTTAATATTGATTACAAAATTGTTGAATCCACTCTATCCTGTCATGTAGGTCGCATCAATTATTATTGTTGTAAGTATTAAACCTTGAGAGGTGCCATGAGTAACCTGGCACTATCTGAGCACTGTAGAGCCTGTGTATCCTGCCAGCCACATGTCCACCTAATGTATGTTTCAGTTACCCAAACTATATATTTTTGGTTTGGCTTCACAATGCTGAAAGGCATATCAAAATCAAGGGAGCTATAGCAGGAACTTGTTAAGATGTTACTTGGTATCTCCTCTGATCCTTGCTCATGAAGGCACCTCACCAGTTCCCAGGCAAATCTCCATGTGTTTAACCAGCTTCTTTGTCTCAAGTACAGCTTTTCCTCCTTTCCTGTCCTTTTGGAAGAGCTCTTATAAATTCACTGCTGCTTTTCTACTGTACAAGCTATTCCACTACATCTGTGTAGCCTCAATGAGCTCATAGCTCTGCAGCTGTGCATAGACTTTTTAATTTTTCTGTTCATTTCCCATGCTGTATGCATGTCTACAGGTATTTGAGGAGATCCCCAGAGAAACTGCTTTCACATGGGAAGCTGTCCATCAAATGCTTCCTCACTTTAACCCCTGTATCACTTT